TAGAAATAAACCCTGGGGATGCAGCCACTCTCTGCTGGGAAGGGGGGTGCATGGCCAGAGAAGCAATGCCCTTGATTCATCCATCCTCACTCCCACTCCTGCACCAGACCTGGCCACAGCATTTGTTTTCCCTGTGCTGTCTCCTGCCTCAACCCTTTTCTCAAGCCTATATACAAAGACACAGACAGGTACACGTCTACCTACACAGGTACACACTCTTGTCTATACGCATACATACAAACAGACTGAATGTAAACAAACACTCCCCCTAGGACTCAATAAAGTTATTTTCAAATTTTATATTTGGGAAATAAATTGGCCCATGATTATTTATGCTTTACCTGAATTAGACCTCAGGCCAGAAAGCAGGGTTTGTTGCCCCTGCAGAAGGGAAGGTACACTGGGAACCAGCAGGCCACAGCACAGATCTTCTGCTGGGCTTGTGCCTACACTCCCAGCCCCGGGGGATGGAGAAGCAAGACCACGGACAACCTTCCTCCCAGTTCCCTTCTCCAGTCAACCACATCACCACCCGAGTGCCACGGAGCTGGCTGCCTTGTGGACATTGTTGCTCCTCAAGCCAGCAGAGCTCTCGGGCCTTTTAAAGCATTACTTTTATGGTGACAGCGATATCCAGACCATTCCCAGCCCTTCATCAAAGTTACCATTGGGTGCGCTCACAGCATTTGCCCTAAGGATGTTGCAACAGCATACTGACTTCCTGTTTCAATATGACTGGTGTGTCCAAGGACTGCTCCCAAGTAGGAGAAAAGAAAATTCATGTACATGTGAAATGTAACTGAACAGAACCCTACAGACAATATTTCACATCTTTACAAATGAATCAAGATGTGAGTCAAGCTTGGGGAATGTACTGATGCCCTTACATCACAGGGAATTTCATACCTTCATAGTGTATCTGGAAACAGACACTTCACATTCCCAGAGCAACATCAGATGTATTATTCCTGGGATTTCAAGCATTTTCGTCACCAACCACACATTATTGGGAGGACAAACCTGGGTCCCTTACAAGTGCACCTTATCAACTGCAAGCCATTTGGAAATACACATATTAAGCCGATCTTAATCAGCCTCGGCTCCAGACCCAAACAGGACGGCACCTACCAACAGCAGCGGGCACCAAAGTTGATCAAATGACAAGATTGCTTGAAATAACTCCTGGTGCCTTTATCAATGTCGCTCAGATATGACAGACTAAGAGCAGGGCAAGCTTTGCCTTTTCAAAGGTCACTGAGCCTTTTGAGACCTCAGTAGAAGCTAAGGCTCTCTTTCAAAACTGCACATCTATTTTCATTTGCACAAGTGTTCTGTGGGCCCCAGTGCCTATGAAGACTGTCCATCGACCCCCACAGCTCTGTGAATAGAAATCTCTTCAGAAAGTCTCTCTTGCATTCACACGGGATTGAAACTTAAAGAAAAGTTTGTAAGAGAGTCAGGGTTGAGAGACATAAATTTACTCTGACCTATGAGAGAAGGCCTGAAAGGTTCCAGTGCTGATGTCTTACCTGGCTTGAGTGTGGTCTCATTCTCCCATGGTTCCATTCCATTGGCAGCTGGCATAGCAACCATGCTGTTTCCTGGCAAGGCTACTCTGGGCCCAAAAATTCACCACCACCCTTGAACTTCAAAGTCTGTCTCCCCAACTCGGCTCCTTTCTCTAGTCTTAAACCAAGTGACTATGAAGTAGAGGGAAGAAAATATAGCAGAAACACAGACCCCACTTTGTGTGACAACCACAAGTCTTTCCAGGTCTTTGTAAAGGCCTGGAAGCCCTCAGGGTTACTCCTATGATGCTAATTTTCCCACTTGGCTGAAGAAGCCACGCAGGTTTCTCTCAAAGTGTGCCCTATAAACCACCTGTATCATCATCTAAAGAGACATTGAACTTGAAGTTTCGAGGGTCCTACCCCAGACCTCCGGATCAGAATCTGCATTTCTGAGAATCTCCTTGCGCACTGTCCCCACTAAGAATTTCTGGTCTAGAGACTCTCCTTGATTTCCTACTGTAGGATAAGTACCTCCAGGAGCTCTCCATCCATAAACACAAGAAAACCCCTGTGAAGTCAAAGACACAAGATGCAGGCAGGAGAATTCAAGCTCCAATCCATCTGTGGAAACTCCTAATTACCGTATCATTTGCCCATTTGAGAGAAAGCGGTTGCAGAAGTCAGAACCCCTGAACTGCTAAAGTTCACGATGGATGGTGCTTCTAAGTGTGTATCTCTGCAGGCTGGACAAACAAGTCTGGCCTCAGAGTATGGCATCTGCCGAGGATCTCTCTGATGGTGACTGCCACCAAGAAATTCTCGCACCTGAGTCCTTCAAAAGACTACATCACCACCCTGGATTTGAGCCTCATGTTTCCCAAGAATGTTGGTGTCTCAGCCTTCGGCAGAGAGAAACTATCACTGAGAAACTGCTCCTAGCTGCTGAAAGTATTTATTTATATAAATTCAATTAATATATATTTATCAAATGTCTACCAAAGGCTCACCCCTGAGCTAGGTGCCAAGGCCATAATAGTGAACAAAACAAGGACACCGCCCTGCCCTGATGGACTATTAGCAAGGACACCACTTCCAAAACAATAGTAGCTCTTTCCAAAGTGGCCTGAGTGCATTCCCCACCTCCCATGGGGAATGGAATGGAGCAGGAGCCCAGAGAGCCAGGAACCGATCCTCCTTCCTCCAACAACACCAGGTCGGTGCCTTCACAGAAAACCCTCAGGAAGACATGCAGTTGGCAGACAGGATAATGTTTCTGAGTTTCACAGAGCAGCCTCAGCCAAAACCAATCTCCACTCAGGGCAGAATAAAGCAGTGGGTTGTCTGGATGGCCGAATGTCTCTCCCCAAGACAATGGTGTGTTTATGCAGCAGAGGGTTAGGAGCAGGTTGTTAACATAAAACCCACCATAAACAGAGTTGATAATTCGGTCCCCTGGCAGGGGCTTCTGTTATCTTCTCAATGCCTCCCAGAGGGTATAAGCCCTACCTTTTCATTTGAGTTGGCAGCAGAGTTATTTTTTTGCACCTGTTGCTCTGCTCCGATAACAACGCAGTTAAGCATTGATTTGTTGGAAAATAAACAGAAAAAAGCAAAGAAAGGCATCTGCCCAAACAGCCTGAGCTGGTTCGACCGAGCATTCATGCCAATTTGTTTTTCCTATAAAACCAAAGAAAAACCTGTGCTTTCAGTCTGGATGCTACCCTCCCACTCCCTCAGAACAGAAGGAGGTATCAAACAGGCCCGCGGGAGCTGGCAGGCCAGAGAAGCCAGAAGACACTGTACTTTTCCATTGGCTGCTCCGGTGAGGGCACTGAGGGGTAGCCAAGGCCTGCAGAGAGATATGGCCAGCTTCCAGCCAGCCAGGTTCCCGATCATGAATTAGATTAACAAGGGCAGAGAAGGGGCTGCTGGGATACCATCGAAACCCAAACCACACTCTTCCAAATGATTGACTTCTGAAAGTCAACATGGTCTAGAGAATAGGTGTGGTCTGTGGGTTGCCTCCTGAAGCGGAGACTCAGCAGAGCTGAACCTTAAACCAGCCTCTCCCACGGACATCCTACAGCGGGCTCTGGGCCAAGAGCACAATTGGAATCCCCCCAGGCCCTAGACCACAGCTGTCCCGGCGCAGAAATGAGGCTAGCATACCTACCTCAAAGGGGGGCTGCACAGATTCACTGGTGCTTGGCCAAGGCGGGTGAGGTCCCAGGTCCCGGGTGGAAAGAGCCTGAGACGTTTGAGGTGTCATTCCTGCTTAATCCAAGCATCACTGCACTCTCATCTCTCATGAGTTTGTCAATAGCACATGATGAGCCAAAAAAAGGGCCACCAAGAACTAAGCAAATCACTCAAATGGAGATCACGGACAACACCAATTAAGTGATGGCATCATCACCCAGCCCTCAACATACACAGCAAGCCTCTTAACGCCTCTGTTTAAGCTTTGGAGAAGAAGGCACAGACCTGGGCGATATGGAAGGTCCCCCTCCCCCAGACACAAAGCTCCCCCAGGCATTGTCTCAGTCCCAGGGCCTTGGTTGCCACCAGACCACTGGCTTAATGGGGGAGTCATAGCAGTGGGGAAAGGCCGCAGAAATGTCACTCCGCCAGGAGCACTGAGAACAGGGTGTTCCGACAGGGGAGGGATATGGCTGGCTGAGCACTCCCAAGCATTCTTGTCATGAGCAGGGCAGGGAGTGGAGTGCCTCCAAACCAAATCAGGCAGCAGAAAAATAAAAGATTTAACAACACCCTCAGTTGACTGAAAAATAAATAAGACCAACTGTGCAGGAATGTGGGAAGGGTGGAGGGAGGTGAGGGGTGGGGATGGGAGCCAGGGAGGGGTCAAGATGGATGAGGACAATGGAGTTGACCATTTTGGGAGTCAGGTTTCTTCCCAGGAAAAGACCAAGATGCTCAAGCCAAGGAAAGATGGACAGCCACCAGTTCAGAATGTCACAGGCTGTATAATTACAAAACAACAACAAAACTATGACAGTGATGATAGTTCATGTTCACTGAGCGTTGATGACATGCTAAGGAGTCTAGCTAGGCTTTACATAAATTATCTTATTTAATCCTCACAACAACCCCAAACATGGGTACTAATATTATCCCCATTTTACAGGTGAGGAGGTACAGAGAGGTTAAGCAATTTGCCCAAAGACACAGGTCTAGTAAATGGACTGGCCAGACTGTAAGTGCATTCGGGAAGGGCTGAGAAGAGCAACGTGACTCTTGGCAGCTTTGGAAATGGAACCTTGTGTTCCTAAAGAGGAGGAGGATGCTTGTTAGGACCTTGGACTTCTCCCTTGAAAGTCGAGATTCTTTGAATACAGCTGCCCTCACTTTTCACCTAAATATGAGAAGGAGGCATATTGACCATCCTTGAACCCTAATATGAAAATTCTCCTTCAGTGCACATCATTCCAGATTCCTACAGAAAGATCAGTTCACGGCCACTCAGACCTGTCTGCCAGAACTTCTGTCTGGGGGGCAGGCATTGTGCTGCAGCAGGTTAAGCCGCCGTTTGAGTCTCCAGCATCCTATATCCAGTTCAAGTCCCGGCTGCTCGACTTCCCATCCAGCTCCCTGTTGATGCACCTGGGAAGACAGAAGAAGATGGCCCAAGTGCTTGGGTCCCTGCCACACCTGTAGGAGATCTGGATGGAGTTCTGGGCTCCTGGTTTCAACCCAGCCCAGCCCCAGCTGTTGTGGCCATTTGGGGAGTGAATCAACAAATGGAATATATCTCTCTCTCTTTCTCTCTCTCTCTCTTCCTCTCTCTCCGTCACTCTGCCTTTTAGATCAATAAGTAAATCTAAAAAACAAGACCAAACAAAACAAACTTCAGTCTGGCTTCCTCTTTAATGCCCCATCTTGACTCAGGGGTTGGGCTTGTCTGCCTGAAGCCACCTCAGACTTATTAATAAGCATGATAAAAGAGCAGTAATCACCACGAGAGAAAAACTGCTGGAAAACACGGGGAAATTATAGCTTCTTAAAAGAGCACCTGATGTCTGAACCATCACACACCCGTCCCGATGACAGACCTGTATGTGTCATGAACATCACACCGATGAGAGCAAGGCTGTGTGTGCTCATTGCCGGGAAGCCCAGGACCGTCACTCAGAGAAACCTAGGGGAGCTTTCTGCCTCTCCTACCATCGCTGTGTCTATGACCATGTTGTAAACCTTGGAAACAGTTCATTGCAAGCTAGCTGTAAAAGACAGACAGGGCCTCCCAAGGCAGACCTTGTAAGCTGGGAGCCATTATCACCCTTGCAGCTTACGAAGCAAACAACATTTGAGCTTGTGCGTAAATCAGAGACCCTCAGTTTTTAGAAGTGGAGTTTTCCTTTTATACAGGTTATCATTAAATGACAGTAGGCAGGACAGCCGAGTTCCTTTCAGTGTCTTCCTAGGAGAACAACAGGCTCTCAGCACCCCAGATCTCAGTTTCCCTCCAGAACAAACTGCGCTCTGTCTCCCCCAGCTCACTGGTTTATGCAGCGAGCCCTCTGGAAAACAACAAGAAAACAAAAAATCCAAACAGCTCCCTACCAGAAAGACTTTCTGAGAAAAGGAATCCCCTCCTGCCAATTAGTCAGCCATTCCACCAGTCATTTTGGAAAAAACCTTTGCAGCACAAATAAAACTGTAAAACTCACTAACTCAAAAACTCTACTGCCCCTCCTCAACAGCCTCAGCTTTCCGCCAGAGAGCCGCTAGATGAGCAAGGTAACAGCATGCAGGATGCTCTCTACGGCAGCCTCCCAGACTCCCAGCTTGGGAAGTCACCAGATAGCCAAATAACCTTACCACATCCAGAGGCAGGACCAGAGATGTAATCTGAAGGGCTTAGTGCACAAGGAAAATGCAGAACCTTTGTTCAAAATGTAAGAATTTCAAGACAGCAACAGTAGAGCACTAAACCAAACACGGAGTCTTTCTAAGAAAGGGGCCCTGTGTAACTGCACAAGTCACACGCTCATGACCTTGACCCTCCCCCCCCCCCCCCCGCGCCCTGGGAGCCAGTCCCAATGTATGTCTTCACCTGCACCAATGTTCCATCACCATGGAAGGTAATGTCTTTCTGTCTTTGTCCCGGGAACTACCTCCTTAGGTTGTAGAAAGATTAGACGAAGTATGACATGGAACCTTGCTGACAGCAGGTACAGACCAAAAGGTGGCTCTTACTGCCATCGCCATTATTACTAGTGCAATCATCTTCATTATACCAAGGTCCCACCACAATTCCCAGGCTACCTGAAGACAGGCAAGACCATCACTCTTGTCTGTTCAGAAGTCATTTCACTAGCCCTGCATGAGAGGACGCTATAAATTATGGGCTTTCACCTTTTATTCATACCATGGACCAATTCTGCATTCTGGTAAGGCCTACAGACCCCTCCTGAATTGTCCTAGTTATCAATATATTTTAAAATAAATGTATAGCATCATAATAATATGTGTGTGTTTTTTTTAATCAACACACCAAACAGGAACCATTACTACAGGTCAAATAAGTTCTGAAATGACAAATACTGATATTTTTAAATATCTGCAACAAGTGTAATTAATATGTCATGAAATGCACTCGTTTGATGACAGTCACAGCTGCAGCTGATACTAATATGGAGTTTTGTTTGCATTCACAGTGAAAGAAAATGTTTAACTTTACTTAAAGGTATTTGAAAATATTGTGATTTTTTTTTGACACTCAAATTCATAGACCCCTTGAATTCTCTCTGTGGACACCAAGTGATCTTTGGGCCCCAGTTTTACTAACAGCAAAGACTGCTTGTTCCACCCAGTCTCTGAACACCACTTCTACACAGGACATTTGAACAATTCAACAAGAGGCAGACCCTTCAGTGTCCGAGCAAATTAAGCCGGTAGGAATTTTTCCTCCCAAAGCCTCTAGAATGTCCAAGATGAAGGCAATGGTCGGTCAACATCTGGAGGTACTCAAGAATGTTTGGGATGGGCCATGGTATATAAAGTTGCAGTTAGTCATGTGAACTTCCTGGAGGGAGATCATGTCTGGCCCCTGCGCACCAGACATCAAGACACCGGGGTGTTTCCATGCCTGTGTGCCCGCCCCAGGTCTTCCCCAGGACACCCCCCTCCCCCAGATTGTGGTTTGCAGCCTGCTCAAAATAAGGCTCAATTTGGAGGTCCCCAATTAACATGGTTTATCCCATCTCCCGGCTGTCTATCTTCCCTGGTAAAAACCCTACAGCATTTTTCCCCCAAAAAATTACAGAACGGAAGCCATGTTGATCATTACAGGGAAAGATATTCCACAGTCTCATCCTCATCCACTCCAATCCGACAGAGACTCACTGAAAAACACCCAAATTGAATATTTATTCTTGACTTCCGTTCCTCAGATTGCTGAGCATCTCCTCACAAACACTTGTTCTGTTCCCGTGCTTTCACATTCTTTATTTAATTTAATCCTCACAACAGCCCTATACAGAAGATGTTATTAACCCCATTTTCCAGAGGAAGCAACTCAGGTGCTACAGCTTATTATATAGTGCGACCAAAGTCACTTACCTATCCAGTAGCAGCATCAAACTTGAACCCAGGATTCTAACTCTAAATCCAATGCCTATCCCAGCTGCTTCCAGGCCACAAAAACTCAAAGTCTCTGCCCCATCAGACAACAAGCAGTCACACTTTATTCTTCATCAGCGTCCCTTGAACACAGCCTCTGGCCAGCTGAGCGGTGAGCTGGGTGCTCTGGTTTTTCAAGTGGACATAGCTGAGGCAGAGACTGAGTATAGGGCCCATCTAAGGCCTACTGCAAAAGCAAAACAAGTCTTATTGGCAATCACTATGACTACTCCAGGAGACAGGCATATTTTCCAAGCTCCATTGTCACATACAAAAAGTAGAAGACCCTCTTTCTGTTCCAAGAAAGGCTCAAAACACTTGGAGGAATTTTGCAGAGTGACTGCAAATTCTCAGATCTATAACTGGGCCAGCAAGGGTCCAGGTCCCAAGATTATCTGTTGTGTGTCTATGACATAGAGTGATGGGGAAGTGGCACATATAAATTTTTAATTTCACCACAGTTATGACATCGAAGAAAAGTAGACATCCAGACATACAAAAGTGAAAATAAGCTGTTGTGTTAAAATGATGGGGTTAAGGAAGCAGTTTGTTGGTCTAATAACCCAACTATTATAACAGGCATTTGGGCTATTTCTTCCTTTCTTTCTTTGCTTTATCAGAAAGTACGTTTTGGGTCTGGCATTTGGCCTAATGGTTAAGATACTGGTTCAGACATCCATGTTCCTGGTAAGAGTCCCTGGGTTCAATATATGGCTCTGGCTCCTGACTCCAGATTCCTGCTAAAGAGACCCTGGGAGGCAGCAGGTGATAGATTCTTGCCACCCACATGGGAGACCTGGATAGGATTCTTAGTTACTGGCTTTGGTCTGGCCCAGGCCTAGCTATTACAGGCATCTGGGGAGTAAATCAGTGGATTCTCTCTCTCTCTCTCTCTCTCTCTTTCTCTCTCTCTCTCTCTCCTCTTTCCCTCTTTCTCTCTGCTTCTCTCTCTCTCAAATAAATGAGTAATTTATAAAAACTTTAATTAAAGCATGTCTCTAATGTACCTATCCTGGTCATATTTTACATAATTTGGCCAGTACTCTTTATTAAGAGGCTACTAAGAAAAGAAGTGAGGGGGCTTGGAGGGCCAGGATGTGAGGACGGATAGAAAGAGGAACGAGAATGTGACTCCAGTGAGCCAGAACAAGGGGCCCAGCCCAGTAAAACAAACCAAAGTTAGAATATGATTAGGTGCCAGTGAAATCGGTTTTCAAAGGAGTATTTTACAGGGTGTCTCTTTTAAAACAAGGTCAATTAATACCCTAGGAGCCTTGGTAAATAGGACAACCTGCTTGACCCTCTTGCAAGTTGGAGTTGCTCCAGATAGTCAACTCAGGCCCTCTGGGGACACGGGGGCTCCAGATGGAGCTGCCCGGAGGCTGGGCCAAACATATTCCCCTTATGACTGTCCACAGGGTCTTCCTCTAGGAGAAGGGAATCCATGTCCCCCAGTCTACCCTCTGCTTCCTGGACAATAAGTCAGGCAAGCTCACCAATGCCAACTCCGCAGAGGCCCCAGCTGCCTGAATGTTGACTTTGCAGCAGGCTGCCTCCGTGTTTTATAGAAGACGCCAGGACAATGCCTGCTCTCACACACTGACTGCTCGCTGTGGTCCCAAAGCAGTCCGCTTCGATCCCTGCACGCTCAAGCCAGCGGTGGACACAGGAGACCAACTGACACAGGTGGTTTATCATCATAGAGTAAACCAACACCCCTCCTACAGGCTCCAGGGGCCCGCTCTCTGCTCCTCCATTAACTATATCCCTTGAGCAAAATTCTGAAGACCCTAGGAAATCCATCTGAGGGTCTTGCTGCGTTTCTTTTCTGTCTCATCCTTGTGGGACACTCCTCACCGGGGCTCGCTCTCGGCTTCCACAGACTTGTCCTAATCCTGCTGACTTCCAGGCATAGCACCCCAACCCCAGCTCTCTTGGTCATTCGAGCTGTTCAATTGAAGTGTCGACCTGGATCTCACGGGTGATTGGATTCCAACTTCTTTGTCCAGAGGAGAAAAGCCAAACCCAGAAAGTGGAGTGTGCTGCTCTGGGGTACACAGCTTTGGGAGCACTAGAAAGCCAGCTCTCCTGACTGCCTACCCTGAGCACGTCCCACCGACTGCCTCTCCTACCCGGCACCCTCAGCACTCCAGTGTGGGAGTCTGACAGGCTCCAGGAAAGACTCTTCAAGAAATACACTTTTTTCCCTCTCTGAAGGCCAATGACTTTTTTTTTAATCAAATAACGCTGTAGGATCCATGGAAATTTCTACTCCAGCACCTTCTGGCTTTCTGATTTCATAGTCATTTGGTTTGAAAATGTGTCCCATCCTAAAGTGAGCTGCTGTGGGGAGTGCCTTCCTCCACAACACTGTTAGTTCCTGCCTGGCCAAATAGTCTGGCCCTTTAAGATCCTGTCTAATTTCAATAAACATACAACACTAATATATTTTTAATCAGCGCATAACTGCCTGCTCCTTAGAAGAAATTAAAGTATTTAAGATCTTATTGTTAAAAGCTGAGCATGGGAACATCAGATAAAGTTAATTATCCACCTCCCCCCATCAGTTCTTCACCTGGACAAGATGTGGGTGCCCACTCGTCTCTGTCTTCAGAGACCACCAGGAACCCGGCTCACCCAAGCAGAGGGTCCCGGCACTGCGTGTCAGTTACCCAGTAACGAAGGCAGGTTGAGAATGTGTGGTCTCTAAACAAGGAGCCAGCGCCTCCCAACCAGGGCCCCACCCACAACAGAAAAGATCACCACCTTGACTCCACCAGAGAGCAATCTTAAAACTAGTGAAAACTACTAAAACTACTGAAAACCAGGTTTAGAATTTCTGTTTAGGTCTTTAAAACCGTGCTGTGGCTTCTCAAAGGGTACTCGCAAGTTCTCTCTTGGTGTCCACCCCACCCCAGCTCTCAGGGGTCTTTGAAAACTGTATCTGTTTGCAAGGACATGCAGATGACTCCATTTGGAAGGAGGGGAAAACACTGAACAACTTTCTGCTGACTTATATTAGCCTTTAAGTCTGTGCTTGCTGCTATCACAAGGCACGGGGGCCTTACACTGCGCTTTCAGAACACAAGTGCTCCAACTCCCCAGTGCAGGGAGACTGGGAAGGACCGGAGAGACAAGGAAGAAATAAAGCATTGCAAGAACCCAGAAAGCTCAATCCCACTGCCTTAGACGTGAACGAAGGTCAACAGGCACGCATGCTCTGACCTGAGACCTGACAGGAATTCCCTCCGGTCCCTGATTATCTAGTTGAGTGCAACTGTGTAAACATTTTGACCTCTCAGTTTCCCTTTTGTCTCAGATAGTCAGGAAGTCAAAAACATATTGAAAGAGGATCAGTGTAAAGTTGGGAGTTCATGGGAGCACTTTAAGATACCCATAAACACAGAACCGCGAGTGCAAATATCGGGCTCTTCTTGGGTCTAGAAAGGCCCAAGGGACTTCTACTGGGCGATCACGATATAATAATATAAGAAAAAATGGGAAAAAATGCCCCCCACATTTTATTTGAATTTAACAGATACTTTTTAATACAAAAGAATAAACAGAATCAAATGTGAGAGCTTTTTAGAAGTAGAGCCTAGATCAAACTCATCTCCCTCCCCACTACCACCTCCAAAAGGTCTGGGCTAAGACTACCATCTGGAGTGGTAACCCCAAAGAACACACAGCAGAGCTGTTCACTCAAAGTGACTTTGTTTAAAATGTCTCTGTAACATATTTTGGAGAAGGATTTTCTCCATGATGTTTATGATTTTTTTTTCAAATATGATTACTGACTTCCAAGAAATTCTTCTCATGATTTTTCAACACTATTGGCCATTGGAGTGGAAGCTACATGGTCTTGCATGACTCCATACTACAAGATGGAATAGATGAGTTCATTTTCAGTCCCAGGATTTTAGGCCACAAAAAATAGGATACATGGAGCCTTCTGTAAACTGCGAACAGAGCTATTATACTCGTTCTTAAAATTTCTGTCAAACCTTTACTGATAGCCTTGCCCAACCAGCAAGTTCTCCTGAATACTACTTCTTCACCTCCAACTGGAAAATGACCCTCCCTTCACCTCAGTGGAGTTATCACACCCCTCTTCACACTACCCTCCTGCCCTTCGACACTCTGAAGAACCCTCTCTGAACACTTCCTCACCTGCATGCACACAGAGCCAGTGCCTGGACTGGACTGTCTGTCTGTCTGTTAGGAAGTTCTCCATATTCAGCCACTCGCTCACTTTCTCCCTGTTCCCTAGAGCCAGTGCAGGTAGCCAACCGAGGTGCCAGTCCAGCCAGCCTCACACAGTCTCACACTTCCTCTTAAAAGCATATGCTCCCACAACAGGACTGGGAGAAGGCTCAGTGAGTGAACCAGGTGGTGAAGACATGACATGACCCTCTCACTTCGGCATTATCGACCAGCAAGAAGAGTAAGCCCCTGCTGCTCCCATTCCATTCACCCGGGGGCCAACACTTCTCTGGGATGTCCAAACAAAATCAAAAGAGTCCCTGTTCCGAAGGCATTGGTTGCTGCTGAGTCACGCCCGCCTGTCTGGCTATGATATCCCATCAGGGAACAAAGGGTTACTGTGTCTGCTTGTGATATGGTAAGAACCCTTTGCTAAAATTGATTTTTTTTTTTCTTTTTCTAGACAGAGTCATTGTTAGGTGCTCAGCTCTCTCCAGCGCCCCTGCCTAGGAGGCAGGTGGCTGCCTGGTCACTTCTTCCAGTGTGGACATATATGCCCTTGCCTGTGGCCAGCCATGTCCCCACACTGGGACATACTAAAGATGAACTGGCCTTTCCCTACATGCAGCTCATGAGTCAGAAAAATTACCAGCAGAAGACATCTCTAGGAAGTGAGGCCGTGTGTTCCGAGCCCCACAGTGATTTAGCCAAGCAGCTCTTCCCTGAGCTACAGCAGAGTCACCTGTCTCTGCCTGCTTGTTTCAGAAGAATTCAACCCAGAGACATCACTTTGCCCCTACAAAGAGCAGGAAACCAGGGGGCTTGGAAATTCACAGGGATTGGGGGTCCAGACAATACAGGCAACTCACAGAAAACAAGCAAAGTAGTCCAACTGCCCTCCGAAATGAGATTCGACTGAGAGCGAGTGAGGAAAGCCAGGTGAGACAAGCATTACTTCCTGCCAGCTGCCCTCCAAGAGTGTTTTATTTCCATCTGCCTGATTCCAGGCAGGCTTTTCTTTCCACTCAGGTGTTTAGATTCCAGAATTCAAAAGGTCTAAAAAGAAGGACTTACCTCATTTACCCCAAGATTCTGGATGGGAAATCCAATAGCTGTGGCTAATGGAGAGCAGGCAGCAGGCAGCAATCACGCCAGCTCCTACGGGGATGGGGAAGCACGGGTGTTATCACGTCTGAGCCCTCATCAGAGTGGAGATAAATGCAGATGACAATAATTTTAAATCATTTTGTAGGATGTTAAGCAATAAGCCACCAACCGGGAATTCCCTAAGTCACTTCCCCCTCTTCTCATTGGCTGCCCAGCCCTTTAAAAAAATAAAATAAAGGATTACAAACATTGGCTCATTTGCATTTGGCCAACTCACACGTTAGTGTTCAAACAAAACAGGTCTAACCAGGTTATGCCTGTCTCAAGACCAGAGAGACGACCTGTTAATGGATGAGGACTTGATTTGGTGGTGACTGTTCTTTTCGGCTTAGAGCCTGCTGCAAACGAAAAAAAAAAAAATAGGCTCCCCCAGAGACCCCATCAGGAAGGGAGAATGTAAAAGCCAGACGAGCAGGAGTCCCAATCTGGAGATGTTGGTATAGGGGTGTGGGGGCCCTCTGATATCTGTCCCATTTCCTACTCTGTTTGGCAGCAAGATCTTTGTCCTGACTGTGCAGGTACCAGGTTCTAGAAGGGGCTCTTAGCCAGTTTTCTCTCCAGGCACCACGACTGCACCTCTGTGATCCAAGTGATCCTTGGTGATTGCAGTAGACTTTGGAAAGCCAATCTCCCCAGGCCCCAGTGAAGAGCCTTAGGAGAAGACTCAAAAGGGAGGGTCCACTCTGTAATGTTCAGGTCCAGGACTCAACTCTCAACAATGCACAGGCAGATTACACAGTGGGCCGGACTAGCTAGATTCTTCACTTCCTCTTGACACTTACATGATCATTTTTGCTGTTTATTGACGCTCCCTAGAAGAGTTAGAGAGGCAAAGACCAAGATGCTGAAATAAGAGCAAGAAGAAGATGGAGTGTTGGAGGGGATCAATGGGTTTGAAATGCCCATGAAACCCACATCCTCCTGGGCCAAGGGCATCTCAGGAGTCACCTTTACCTGCTTCACTGGGTCACAAACCTACCTGTACTTGTACAGATGAGTGACTGTTGCTGACAAGGAAAAATACCATCCCCTAACCATTAACTTTCTCTCTCAAGTCTTCCTGGACACTGGGCCTCTCCCTTGGAGGAGAGGGAAGGGAAATTTGAGTTTTGGCAAACAGACAAAGATTTTGCGATCAAAACCAAGAAGTTCCTTGTGTAAAAAAGGAAGATCTACATAAGAGCAAAGGTTGCCTGTGAACAGAACACAAAGCAAGTGGTTGTGGCCTTGAGAGTGGTAGCATTATTTCTTCCTTGCTTGTTTTCTTAGTTTATACAATGTGAATGCACAGGCTTCCGAGGGTGTGAAAGACTTGGTGGAAAGGTGGACTTGCAAGGGTCCGAGGGTCCTGGAATGGGCAGGAAGGTCTGGAAGGTGTGAGCAGTGCAGTGTAGAAAGCTCTAGAAGCCCCCCTGCCTCTCTAACCTGCCCCAAGCATTCCCACCCTTCCCTGCTGTTCAACCTTGTGAGCTTGCCAAGGGCCCTGTTAAAATGCAAATGCGTGCCCTGGGTCTGATAAAAACAGTAAATGTCATTATTGCCCATTATCACATTAGCCCCAATTAGTTTATCAACTCTAGATCTGAGAGCAGGGCCTGAGGGAACAGCCTGCTGCAGTTTTGCTTGCTAGATGAATCAGGAGCAGCCTGAAGGAGCCTCCACTCCACCCACCAGGAGGTATTTGCATGTGGTGCTGGTGCTGGGGGTGGGGTGGGGGTGGGGGTGGCAAGGGGTATGAGTGCCAGTGGGGCTCCAGGGAAGGAAAATTTGGCCTTCTTCCCACTTTTGCCTGAGATTAACCTCAGACAGAGGGCAGGGGGCAGGGGTAGGGGTTGTGTGGTTAAGAGGTAGTGAACTTCAAATGCAATATCCAAAGTGGTGTGGCTCCCTGGCCCAGTTCCAACCGCCTTTAATTATAGGCCCTTTAATTTCTAGCTGAAGAGTTCTGGTTAGGGTTCCATTCTACCCAATCTTATTCTGTTTCAGGTGGGAAGACTATTCCGTTAAGGCACTCTTGAGAAGTGTGAATTTGGGGTGCTGCTGGCTGTGGGAGGGGATGGAAATATGTCCCCTCACACTTGCAAGCAATTTTATCTATGGAATGTTTATGTATATAAAGCACCTAGCAATGTATCTGGTACTTATTGGGTACTTACTAAGTATTGATTCTTTGCTTTATCCTCTAGAAAACAAAAACAATACTTCCCTCCAACCCAAATCCAAGTTTTTAGGTATACTGCATCCATAGACACATTACTTTGGAGTTTGAGATCCTTTATCCTATAGCTGAGATAGGATACTTGTCAACAAGACAGGGCTGGTATCAAATTAGATAGATGATAGATACATAGGGAGAGAGAGAGAGAGAGAGTCAGGAAGGGGGGGGTCCTTTTCTTAAGAACACTACAAGTTGGATGTGATGCTGAGGACTTCTACTCTAAGGATCTCAGATATATGAAGTATGTCCCTCAGGAATAGAAGGTTTAAACATACAACTATGAAAGCATCAAACATAGCAAATCCTTTCCACGCAGGACATTGTAAGCTTTTCAAAGAGGAATCAGGCAAGAGTCATTATCATCCCAGACCTCCAACCTGTGTTCTCTGCTTCCAGATCTCTATGGAAGACTGATCAAGACATCTGGCAGTGAGCAGAGAGATGACACAGGAGCTGACTGCCTCCGGTTTATGGATTGTAAAACTTAAGAGAGAGAGAGGTAAAGCAGCATACCCTCTGATCAAGATCAAGAAAACACGGAGTGCAGGAACACACTCTGGAAGTCCAGTTACTCTGCATAGAAATCTGCTTGGTCCTCACTGCAAGTCCAGCTCCATCCCTGTCTCCGATCTGCACAAAGACTTGCAGCTTCTGAGCTCAGTCCTGCCGCTGGTTCCCACAGAGGACAGGGGGACCCAAGCAAACCAGACCAAGCTGTTTGCAGTGGCCTAGATGCCATGCCCCTCTGTTCAATTAGATTGTCTACTGGAGTTCCACATTGCAAAACTAAAGAATCCCAGAGATCTTAATTCCCAAATCATGGCCAAGACAAAGAATCTCTGAGCCCAGTGTCAAGCCTAAGGGGTCTGAGCATTAACACCAAGGCAGGCTGTGGTTACAAGGTTGCCAGGCGTTGTGTGCTTGCTTTGTCGGAAAGAAGATGCTCCCTTACTTTATTGCACTTACTGACTTTTAACCAGAGGCCCTGTGTTTAGCTTGGAAAGCAAGTGTGTGTTTGTATATATTTTCATCATCCCTTCTTGATGGTATGGCGTCACCTGCAGGGTTGAATGTGTCAGCTCTTTAGTGAGAGCCCCCAGGAATATCAGTGTAGGACTTACAGGAACAAGAACTCCTGGTGCTGTAAAACTCTCTGGGGATGGGGAATAGAGAAAGCAGAATATGACCATGAATCACCTTGGCCAGAGTCCAACAGAAAACTGGGGTTAATAAGTCTCATCTTGCCTCTTGCCTCTAAAGGCCCCATTTCCAAGCCCTTTTGATGTGGGGTGAGATTGCATTCCTGGAGCTCTTCGTATCCCATGAGAAGTCTCCTGGGCTCTGCAGCTGTCACTGGAGCTCTGTCTGGGAGCACTCACCTCAGCAATGTCCTAACAGGTCTGTGTGGATCACTCCAATCATGCCCTTGGCCATCACATCTGTGTCCCCGCAGCTGGCTGATTCTCTGCCAGTAGCACAGACCACCATCTGCTGAAGAGGGGGGCACACCAGTGCAGGAGTACGGGGGCGAGGGGTGGCTCATTGTTCCTGGAAAGAATGACCCATGAGACACGTGTGCACACGCGCGCACACACATGCACGCCACTCAGGCATTTGATTATATCACCAACATGACTTAAGCATCCGAGATGCATTTTCTGAACTCATCCCTCATATTTGAATTGTTCTCCAGACACTTCCATTCTTGCCTAATGCAACTCGCCTTACTGCTTCTGTCCTGTCCTGTCTCTTCTGCCTCACCTGCGTCGTCTTATCCTCTTTCATGCCTTATCTTTCCTACCAGATACCTTTACACAGTGCCCTGACTTGCTGCCAACTGCATTGCTAGGATAAGTACTTTGGTTCTTGGATCAAACTGATACGACTTCTCCATGATATTTCCATCAGATGTGCTTGACAGTCTCAGAGAGGGAGGAAAGAGGGCTGAAGTGGGCCACGTCCAGACAACCTTCCTCTGTCTAGTATTTTCTTTGACTGTATGTGGGGAAATGTTCTGAAAGTACAGTGGGTGTTTTTACATGTTATTTATCATAACTCCCATGGAATCTCAAGATACAAAACAGAATAAGGAAACACTGCTGCGGTGGGTGCTGTGGCGTAGTGGGCTAAGCCTGCAGGACCCGTATCCCACAAGGGCACCAGTTCATGTCCTGGCTGCTCCTCTTCCAATCCAGCTCTCTACTATGGTCTGGGATAACAGTAGAAGATGGCCCAAGCCCTTGGGCCTCTGCACCCACATGGGAGATCCAGAAGAAGCTCCTGGCTCCTGGCTTTGGATTAGTCCAGCTCCAGCCATTGTGGTCACTTGGGGAGTAAACCAGCGGATGGCAGACCTTTCTGTCTCTCCCTCTCTCTGTCTGTAACTTTGCCTCCCAAAAATTTAAAAAATTTAAAAGAAAAAAAAAGAAAGAAATGTGACTGCCTATGGATTGGAGGCAAGGCAATTGCAGCCTGGTATACTCTCTTGGTCTTCCTTGAACCCCTAGCATACAGTCTTCTCTGCCACACAGGCCTTCGTGTTCCGTGTTCTGTGTTCTTGCTGTAAGCCAACCAGCATCAGAATCACCTTTGCAAAGTCAGAATCCTGAGTTCCTCCCCACATCACCAAATCAGCAAGCACCTCTGAGGTCGGGCTGATAGCAAAAGTCATTGTTTCACATTCGTTGCCATCCATTCATATATTGTGGGCTCCCACATTGTTCAACATCCAGGAAACTGGAAAACTTGGGCCCTGTTGTCTAAGAAGACACGCTGATGAAGCTGAGCCTGGGTGCCTTCATCCCAGGAACTTGAGAATCAGGAAACTCTCAGATCCAAG